TCCCTCTCTCTATCTCTTTCTCATCTCTCGATGCCGAAGGCAGAACTGTATTAAAGTCGAAAAGAGCAAACAGGATAACGCAACGCGCTCGAGAACACTGTGCCGATCGCTCGTCCAGCTTGTCTCACGACTAAAATACGGTTTCGTAATTAGAAACAAAGCCAGAAGGTAAACCAGAGCTGACGAAGCGCGGTGTTCTCTACAGTACGTGCATCCCGTTTGCCAACGGTGCCGCCCATCTCAGGGTTCCACGTACCGTTCCGGGCTCCACGCTATCACGACGGACACCCTGGAATCATTTCCGCGTATGTCACTGCACGCGTACACTTCTTATCAGAGATACACGAGAACGCACAAAATCTATGCTGTACCGAACGACTCCGAGAAATGCACGCTGTCGGCCATATTTTCACTCTCTCGCCGAGTCGCCGTGTAGCGGTAGCGTTGAGGTTCCCCAGCCAATCGCCGAACATGGCGTTCGCATCGCTTCCGCAGCACACCGCAGCGAGTCGAGAAGTGCGAGCCGAATAAACGCGAACCAAAGATATACTTAATGGAAAATGGAATATTCCTCAACAGAAATGTATCCGTTACGATATGCATATTTTTGCATAGATTTCGAGCGAAACAACGTTGAACTGCGTTATCATATAAATTATACTTGCAAATTAATTTTTTTTACAAATATAAAAAACGATAAGTCGATCGACAAATTTGATTATCCCGGGAAAAAATGATTCATATATAATTATATTTAATTATACAAAATTAAATAAAATTATATATAATTATATGTAAAATTGATATAATTTATACATAATTATATATAAAATATATCAGATCGACATCAAATTGACAGTCATTTCTTACTGGGATCCGTTCGAATTTGAAGTCCAATTTGGAGTAGAAACTAGAAAGGTTTTGGAACGCATTTTAGAGCGACAAAATGGCTCTAACCAGAGAGTCTGGTAGGCTGTCAATTCAACTGTTGAGAAATAAAACATGTTTGTACACTACAGTGAGATGTTATGACAAACGTAAGTAACTATACATGTTCTTTTCAATTTGCTTCTCATCATATTTTATGTAAATAAAGCTGCTGCTCCATCAAGTACTGTAACGAGGTTAGGACTGCTGTTATTATATAATTAAATTATTATTAATTATTACTATTTATTATTATTGTTTACTATTATTAAATTATTGTTTCATATTCAGTGAAATACACAGTAAAACTTAGCATACAGATGCGTTGGAAAAACTTACAAAAACATGTTGAATATTGAAAGATTCGTCTTGTAGCAAGGATGAAACTAATTGATGTTGTGTTTGTCATCAGCACTTCCATGGAACCACCTCTGGCAGCCAAAAGAATATTCAAAAAAGGATCATGACAAGATCGCCGAGAAATATCATTTGCATCCTAAGGAATATCAACCTTATCCCCCTGACAAATGTCTTGGTGACTACCCGAATCTACCCAAGATAGGACCGGCTGCTAAAGATCCATACTATCCATATGACATACCGATATACAGGAAAAATTATCATGAAACGGTGAATTTACATGTACAAAAGATTTCTGAAATTTATTTATCATGTTCTTATATATCTCTTTTGTTTCCTCCTTTTAGTTACACCATGAGTTTGAAACTATGGGCGAAGATCGTTTCAGTTATGGCTATAAGTACAGAATTAATCCATATTTGGCATCTGCAATATGGCTTGCAACTATGACTGTTTTAGCAGGAATCAATTACTTGTTACAACCTTACCCAATTGTTCAGATAAGGGTCAGTATTCTAAATAGCGTTTTTTTTATGTCAATGGATGTATTCAGCGGAGAAAACTAATCAGTGATTGGTTTAATTAGATATTTTAATACTTTACCAATATATGTTTCAGATGGAGAGACAGTATGCCACGAAGGATGTAGTACACTATTCATTTGAACCAGCAGATTCGTGAAAGTAGGACGAGCAGCCTCGAGTAAATATAATAGATACATGAAAAACAGCAGTCTGATATAATGTATAAATATCATGTATAAATACATGAGTTCTAATATACACATGGATAGTATTTATATTATACAACACATATATCTTTGTTGTGTTATAATATTTCGGCAACATTTTTCGTCACTTGTTATAACTTTAGTTTTTCTCTCTCTCTCTCTCTCTCGTCTTTCTCTATTTGTATTATAGTCTTCAAACCATATTGTATGAAAAAGCAATAAATTGCTGATTGCTAGCTTATGATTAAATAAGTTGTTGCCTTATATATACACAACTCTTAATCCTGATTTGATAATATTTAATAAAATATAAACTGCTAATATTTTCTAATTTCTAATAAAGCATATTTGCAACTAAAAATCGAAAAGTTTGAAATTTAATTGATGAAATATTTATTTAAAAATTTTTTTAATTCAGTTTCTTTAATTAAAAGAATACTTTAAAATGTAATATCCTATTATTACAACTATTATTTTTCATAAATATTACATATTTAGACAGGTATCATACATGTATAACAGTTATAAATCTTTGGTTCTCCAATGCATTGATTTCTGTTTGCTTCTATTGAGGTAAGCAAGAACGCAGTTAGCTACAAAACTGCAAAAGTACCATCGACTAACACATTTTTATTTCATTTCTTCGTACATTCATTACAAAGAAAGCAATAACATTTGATCCAAAACTCTTTACGCACACAAATCGTTCGTAATACAAAGGAAGGAGGAAAAATATATATCTGCGTAAGATATACAAGTTTCACGAAGTGACATTAATTGCGTCGACATGGAAAGATCGTCCGAATACAAATTGTATCCTTCATACCCGTGACGTACACGTCGCGGTGTATGGACCGTACTAAAAAATACAGATAGAAAAATATGACGATAGGCTACGGAATAAAGTTGTACATACGATGAAAACGCGTGTGAGCATGATGTATATTTCACCCGTGTGTCTCTGTTGAAACTTGCCACGGTTATATCGTTACAGTCAAGAGGGACGTCGTGGTGACACTTAGTAATATCACGTACTTATTTGATATGCTTAATCAATTGTTCGCTTCCGTTTTTATTTCTCGATAATTGTATATACCTCGTTATGGTGCACAGTTTCGTAAATCCTTACGAATGATACATATATATTCCGTAAAATATTGAATGGTGCTCCGTGTTCGCCTTCCGCTCGCCACATGTTCGCCTTCCTCTCGACACGTTTAAACGGTCTAAAAAGTACGCCCTGTATGCTTCTGAGAGATATACGAATATTGAATATACGCGTTATCACGAGTATACAAAGATTCAACGTCGTCAATTGGGAAGCGATCGAGGAGAACGTGTCTCGATCGGATCCTTTCTGCATCGCGGTATATGGTGTACATTTTAATAAATTCCAAAAATTGCAATCCCATTGTCGCCTGGTGCGAAGTAGCTGTATTCGTGTCACCGAGCCCGAAGGGAGTTACCTGTTAAATGCAGCGAGATATTGCTTATATTCAAAATGTGAGCGCTTGAAACATCGATTTTATACCGCTATACTTTCTCTTTCGTTTCTCTTTTTATATTCAGACTGAATTGCTAATTTCTTTATTGACTATTGTTCCACGGAGACGTCCGGATACTGGACGCGAACTTAGATCTGTATCCTCCACGTTGGATTGTATGCGCACTTTGAAAAGCCACTTCTTTCAGATTATAATTAATTTTATACTTTTAATTAAAACACCTCTCAACGCAGTTAACAATCGTGATTATTTGAAATGCACGTAATTTGTTTCCTCTGCACTCTGCGTGTATGTCTGTTTACAGAATGTTTTAGAAATAAGTGGCAAAATTTTAGAAGCATATTCTATTTATAGTAAGAATGAGAAAAAGGTTATATATATGAATGTGAGCCGGAAAATATTTTTTTCTGAAATCTTCTTCACTGTTATTTTAGGTCTCCTTGACATTGACAATTTTTAAAGAAAACTGTCCAGACTTGCTCATTAAAGGGTTTTAAAGGCCCTTTTATTTTGAATTTCCCTATATACAGCGACATTCTGAGAAACAGTAATTAGAGTGATTTTCTGTTACCTTCTCTGTTTTCCGAATTATAAATACTTTTTGTTTACAACAAAAACTGGTAAAAAATACTTCTTAAAGAGATTGTTAGAAATATCTTTCTTTCTCAATAATACATACGTCTCATGTACTATCATTCAAAATATTAAAAAATTTTAAATTTTATCACACGAAGCGATATGATTTTTGAGAATTTCCTGAAACTGCAAAGAGAGCAATAAGAGCATCGAGTCTTAAAATGTTCTTATAAATAAAAATCCAAAGAATTTAAACCGGGATAACGTGCAAACCATGCAATAATCCCTATATATTTACCAATCCATCAATTGGTATAATAATTATTATCAAAAAATTCTGTTATAAATAAAAACCATAACTTAGATAGGAAGCGTTTCTTAATTCATGTTTATATGATTTTTTCTTTCTTATGATAAACAGAATATGCTAAAATATGTGTTAAAGACGATCTATTTCTAAAACATCCTGTATAAATATATATGTATGTATATATATATAAAACGAAAAATTTTTGTAATCATTATCGTGTTTACGATTACACGGCGTAAGCAACTGAATCAATTTCTGGACCATTAAAGTTGTATTATTTTAGACAGTATTTTTTAATACACACATACTCACTCTCTTCTTCTTTCTCTAATAATTACCGTCCTATAAGTGGCGTTTTACGGATATGTCATCTTTGTCGCTGCGCAATACGAAATGTAAATCAATGAAAAGCGTCAATACGTACTTCTATGTATGCGTGATACTTCCTAAATATTTACCGTGAGATCTACGCGAGTGCAAAGTTACATACATGTAATCTTTCGAAGGACTTGGTAAAACACATCGATAGCGATTATTACTTATTTCGGTTTACTTATTCGGTATTCGCTACGGACGAAGACCGGCTCAAATCGACGCGGGACATCGCGAGTACGGATCGATCGAGTCGACCGTTCGGATTCCACGCTCTTTGCCCGCGACGGTTTGCGCGGGTTCCTCGTTCTATCGCCTTCCACTTCGACGATACACGCAGAAAAACGTTAATCCATTTATTCGGCGAGAGTTATTTGATTCGATTCCATCAGAGTTTCGAGCCGCGCGTAAAATACACGCCCGGTCGAAAAGAAAAAGGGAAGCCCAACACGCAACGGGAGGGAGGGCCAAACAATTCCGATGCAAGCCCGTTTTCCGACGTGGATAAACTTTTTTCTTTAGAACTTTAAACGCTGAAATGTACGTTGAGATATTGACAACGTTCGTTTCGTATTGTTAGACTAGATTAACAACACATACATATATATATATACACAATGCAATAAATATTGTACGATTGAATCCTCGAGAGTTTATAAATAAACCTCGCCTTAGAGTCCAAGTATATGCAATAAATTACACGTATTCGTAACTTTAAAGTTAACAGCGATTGCTCTTTAGAGTCCATTTCCGTTACAGACTGTTCCCCCGAAGCTAAAAACATTTAGTAAACGATAGAAAAAGAAGATACAGCCACGTTACTTGCCTATTCTAGTTTATAGTCGTGTATCGAGCGCGAGAAGAAAGCAATTGCAGTAATTGTTTCTCCGTTCTTCTTGGCAATTCAATTTTCTACTCGCAAAGCAGCTTAATTGACCTATCTAAATCGATAAATCGAGTTTAATTTCTTCGTTGCACATTTAATGGATCATCTCACTCGTATTTTGGTAATACAGTACTTAAAATTATATGTTTACTTATATATATATATATTCGTATGTAATATAGTAAAGGGGAAATTCTGCCAATAGTCTAACAAAATCTTCGCGCGATTGTAGAAATTATGATACAGTCCCGATACGTACAATAGTCTTAGGAAGGCCTTTCGACTATCGTCAGAATTTCTAAAAATACCGTACAAAATATATAAACATCAGTTATATATCAACACCAGAAGGTAAAGATATCATTAAAAGCCTATATGTAAAAATATAGCTGCCTCAAGAAAATAATCTGACAAAGATAAAAAGAAAGTAGATAAAATACAAGTTAACTGCGTGCCTCGCTTGCCATTTAATTCGTAACTGAATAAGGACGATATAAAAAAAATCATGCATGTGCGCTATTTGCGAACCTAACGTGACATCACAATGATTCTCGATCAACTTAGATTACTTATAGTAAACTAGTTCAACACAATGCACTATACATTTACAATTATCGATATAATGGTAAATACTCGCGCGAAAATTCAATTATGTGTAAAATTAAATTATTTACAGCGTTAATAGATCTCTGTTTACTTCCTACCTCGAGTAAATCATTTGACTTTAGCTAGAGTGGACAAAACCATAAGACGTATACTTGCATTCACTCGCGCACGGTGTGAACTAAACATTTACGATTTATTATAGTAAGTAATACTAATATATATTATATACTATCGCTGCTACATACATATTACATATTATGCGTGTAGCTAATTATTTCTCCGAAAAATTCTACAAATAATCATTTTACGTCGCCAATAAGTGACATAAATAAACAAAATTTTATATACAATTTCGCTTACACTGCATATTAGCCAATTTTATCACATTAAGTTTTAATCAAGAATTTTCCTTCCTCATATGCAGTTGCCATAAATATCAAATAAATGTAATCAATTGTCAAGAATGAAGAGATTAAATTTTATCTTTTATCTAAGTTGTGAATAAAAGTCTGCTTTGTAGAATTCAATCTATTGGTACTAACTCTTTACATATATATGGCAGCTTTATAACTACTTTTTAAAATTTCGCGTATTTATCCTGGCAATTAATTTGTCTGGATTGTTATTACCCGTACTAGAACGACATCAATTGTTAACTAAATGTTTAGGCCCTTTTTGTTGCTGTAGGTATCACTAACAATTACAAATCTTGATATTACACATGTGCGTATGCACATCAAAGATGAAGATTGAGAATCAATAAATTCTAACTGTGGTGTGTGTGTGTGTGTGTGTATATATATGCGTTTACTATTATTACAAGAAAAATGTAAAGTATAATTTTGCCAAATAATAAACTAAAAAGGCGGATTC